GGTCAAACAGAGTCAGGGCCAGAGCTGGCAGGGGTCAGAGCCTGGAGTAGGATTGAGTACAAGTCCAGGATGCTATCAGGTCCCAGATGCAGCGATGTATCTGTCTCCTAACCATGCCCTTCTGCCTGAAGAGCCCACTCACCTGACATTTATTCTGTCCTACAGGGCAAGCCCCGGCCTCAGGTGGTGTGGACCAAGGGTGGGGCTCCCTTGGATACCTCCCGTGTGAATGTGCGCACCAGTGACTTCGACACGGTGTTCTTCGTGCGCCAGGCGGCCCGCTCTGACTCTGGAGAATATGAGCTGAATGTGCAGATTGAGAACATGAAGGACACCGCTACCATCCGCATCCGGGTCGTGGGTGCGAGGCTGGAGCCTGGGGAGGAGTGGGAGAAGAGGGAAATCAGAGTACGGGAGGGGCTGGGTGGGACTGGGGGGTTGGAGGAACAAGGCCAAAGGCACGGAACGGAGGTTTGAAACAGGAAGGGTGGAAGGTGGGGCAAGGAAGGGGCCCATCCGCAGCGCTGGGCAAACGAAGTGTAGTGGTGTGTGCCCATGATCTCAGCACTCATGGGATGGCAGCGGGAAGATCAACCAATCCTGAGATATACAGCAGGTTTGAGACCAGCTTGGGCTACAACGAGTCAGAAAAAAAAAAAAAAAAAAAAAAAAAAAAAAAAAAAAAAAAAAAAAAAAAAAAAAAAAAAAAAAGAAAGAAAGAAAAAAAAAAAGTCAGGAGGGGAAGGAAGGAGCAGTGCCAGGCACCAGGGCCCCTCGGATGGTGTGTGACCCCCAACCCTCCTTCCAGAAAAGGCAGGGCCACCGGAGAACGTGATGGTGAAGGAGGTGTGGGGCACCAATGCGCTGGTGGAGTGGCAGCCGCCAAAGGACGACGGGAACAGTGAGGTCACAGGCTACTTTGTCCAGAAGGCTGACAAAAAAACCATGGTGAGGGGAAAGAGGGGCCTCGGAGGCTGGGGAAATGCTGGTGGCCTTGGTAGAGCGGAGCTGAGCTTTCTGTTTCACAGCTGGGAAATTGAGGCTAGGAGAGCCGGTGGCTGCGAGTGGGAGTGGCTGGGTTCAGAAGACAGACTGCTGCTTCTGCCCCGCCTCTCCTATGTCTCTACTCACGTGTGGCCCACGTGCCGGCCTTTCCCGGTCCCTCCTTGTCCCCATTCCAGGAGTGGTTCAATGTCTACGAACACAATCGCCACACCAGCTGTACAGTGTCGGATCTTATCGTGGGCAATGAGTACTATTTCCGAATCTTCAGCGAGAACATCTGCGGTCTCAGTGACTCACCTGGTGTCTCCAAGAACACAGCGCGAATCCTCAAGACAGGTGCAGGGATGCCTGGCACTGAGCTGTAACTCCTGTCTCTTGGCCCCTGGCTAGGTTTGGGGTGGGACTCACGTTATGGGTGTCTCATCTTCCCTAGGAATCACCTTAAAACCACTGGAATACAAGGAGCATGATTTTCGAACAGCCCCCAAGTTCCTGACACCGCTGACTGACCGGGTAGTGGTAGCGGGATATACCGCAGCTCTCAACTGTGCCGTCAGAGGCCACCCAAAGGTGCCAGGGTGGGGTCCGGGGAAACTGTTAGCAGCAATGGCTCCCAGAATACTCCACTAGCAGCTCCTCAGGTGGAGGCCAAGTGTCAGGCAGGGCTGAGCTTCCTGCCTCTTCTCTGCCTCGGAACTGCCAGGTACACCTCATCCATTCAGCCCAACTCTGTTCAGTTTGAAAACAGTGCCGCTCCCTAGAAACCCTGGGGGGGGGGACTTACACCTGCATAGCTTCCTGGGGTTCTCCTCAATCACCTACTCTCAAGTTTACTCTTCTTTAAAAACACCTTAAAATTTAGCAGGACTGTAGTGACCCACGCCTTTAATCCTAGCACTCAGGAGGCAGAGGCAGGCAGATCTCTGTGAGTTTGAGGTCAGTTTGGTCTACAGAGGGAGTTCCAGGACAGGCTTCAAGGAGAAACTTTTGTCTCTAAAAAAAAAAAATCTTAAAATATATGTGTGTGTACGTATGAGCACCTTGTATGTATGGTACTCATGTAGGCCAGAGAGGGCATTAGAGTCCCTGGAGCTGGGATTATAGGCAGTTGTGAGCTGCCCGGCATGGGTGCTGGGACTGAACCCAGATCTTCTGGAAAAGTAGCAAGTGCTAACCGCTGAACTATTTCTCCAGGCCTCATAATTTTTCCTTTTTTAGACAGGGGTTCATGTAGCCTAGATCCCCCACCCCCACTTTCTGAGTCTGGCATTCTAGATGTGCACCGCCAAGTCTGGGTATACTCATTCATTCATAAATTCACCCACCGTCTCATTTAACCATGTGTCGATTCATTTATCTCAGCTCATTCATTCATTCCATTTGCTGACGTACATCATTAATTCCACAAATATTTTCCTGGATTTCGTATGTACTTTGCAAATGGAACAAAGAAGTTGTGTTTGCACTGGGGTGGGGCAAGGATGCCACTGGTGATATGACTGTAATGGTGATAGGCATAGCAGAGAAATACGGGCGGTTCTGAGACTGTCCAGGAGCTGACTGGCAGGGGAAGGGCAGGACAGACAGGAAGGGCAGTGTTGGAAGAGGGGACAGACAGTTCCAGGGTACGGGATGCTGGAGCACAGGGAAGGAAAGGTAGGTGATCATGGTGGCCAAATTGGGGTCCTTAAGGTCTCTAGGCGCCATGCACTTGTTTGTATAGAAGAAGAAAGTGGGGGTCAGAGAGTAAATGACTGGTGGCGGCGTGGCTTCTGTCCAGGGGATCCCTGTAAATCAGTTTCCTCTCTGGTTCCCCTCCCTAGCCGAAGGTGGTGTGGATGAAGAACAAGATGGAAATCCACGAGGATCCCAAATTCCTCATAACCAACTACCAGGGCATCCTGACGCTGAATATCCGCCGACCGTCACCCTTCGATGCAGGGACCTATTCCTGCCGTGCCGTTAATGAACTGGGGGAGGCCCTGGCTGAGTGCAGGCTGGATGTCCGCGGTGAGGAGGAAGTGGTCCCACACTGGCTGACCCTCATCCAGGGCCCTAGACAAACCTACCTGGATGCCCCACAGGAAGGGGGGGAGGGGGGTCCTGCAAAGGGCCTGGGGTTCGGAAGCCCCAGTCTCAGCCCATGCTTCCCCTTCTACCTCTCAAATCCCGCCCAGCCTCCTGCCCTTTGCCCCTGGAGTCAGAGCTGAGTGACCTTCTCCGACTCCCCAACACACCCCAGTCTCTTCAGTGTGGATTTATTGTCTTGTATCTCAGCCCTGTCCCTAACTCCAGCCTGAGGCCTGCATTTTCATACACATTGTGTCCCAGACATCCTGTACCATGGTAGGGCCACAGTGGTCACATTTTATTCCTACTCTGGGCCTCTGAACACTCTGAACCATTCTCTGAGAGAACTGTCCCCCTGTGGCTTCAGTCCACACACACTGCTGGAAGCAGCCCCGTCTCCCAGAGTATCCATTAGCATAGTCCGGCCCTGCTTGATTGGAGACACTTAACCAGGCTCATCTGCCTGGCCCCATGAAGCAGGGACAGGAGCTCCAGCCCCTCAAGGATCACTCCCCAGGCCCAGTGGCCTTTTTCTGGATTCAGGCTGATCTGGATTGCAGTCTTCTTTGTGGGTGACTAAGTCATCTCAGGTGTATCCCCCATTGCAGGCTCTCTCTGACTTCTGATAGCCGGTAATTTCTCAGAACGTCCCCATGCGGGATTTAAAACAATATTAAACTGTCAGGGATGTGGTACACATCTGTCACCCAGTACTTAGGAAGCTGAGATAGGAGAATTTTAAGAGTTTGCCACCAGCCTGTGCTACAGAGCAAATTCAAAATCAGCCTGAATTACATAGTACGATCTTATCAAAATACTATAAAATATAAAAACAAGGGCTGGAGAGGTGGCTGGGGGCTAAGATCACGGGCTCCTCTCCCAGAGGACCTGAATTTGGTCTCACATGGGGGCTCACAACCATCTGTAGTTCCGAGTTCCAGGGGCTCCAAAGCCCTCTTCTGACCTCCATGGGCTCTTTCATACACATGGATCACATAAACTCAAGCAGGCAAACACAGACATAAAATAAATGAATAAATTTTAGAACTCAAAATGCAAAATAAAATGGCCAGGCACGGCAAAGTACAACTGTAGCCCTAGTTGGAGGCAGGGTCATCAAGAGCTTGAGGCCAGCCTCATCTGTAGGAAGTTAGATGCCATGAGACCCTTTCTCAAAAGGGCTACATGAGGCCCCGTCTCAGAAAGAAGAAAAGAAAAAGGTGTGGGGCTGAAGATGTGGCTTCAGCGTAAAGCCACGGGTTCCACCCCCACACACAGTGGTGCCTGGGAGAAGGAAGCAGGATAGGAGTTCAAGGACACTCTCAGTCACACATTTGAGTTCGAGACCAGCTGGGGCTACTTGTAGCTCTGGAGACGGGGGGGGGGGGGGGGA